TCTTCCCTGTGCGCTGCTTCCTCCTCCTCCTCCTCCTCCTCTTCTTCGTCCGTTAGCCATAGCCAACGTATCAGCCGTTTTTTTTTTTCTTTCTCCCGAACATCCATCTTCCCTGTGCGTTGCTTCCTCCTCCTCCTCCTCCTCCTCCTCCTCTTCTTCTCCTCCCTCCTCTTCCTCCTCCTCCTCCTCCTCCCTCTTCTTCGTCACCTTCTTCTTCGTCCTCCACCTCTTCTTCTCCTCCTCGTCCGTTAGCCATAGCCGTTATTAACTTCTTTTTCCCGAAGCTCGTTCATCTCCCTTGCGCGCTTCTTCTTCTTCCTCCTCCTCCTCCTCCTCTTCTTCTCCTCCTCCTTCGTCATCTTCTTCTTCCTCCTCCTCCTCCCTAAGTAGCACCCCATACCCACATTGCTCCACAGATCCGTAACTTATAGGTTATTATTTTTTTCCCACTACACCGCGGGCGACAGCATGGCGGGTGACGAAAGTGGCGGGGCTGGGCCGACAAGACGCAGGCTGGGCAGTAGTGAAAGTGCAGAAACCGTGTCCTTTTCGGACGGGGGAGATTGTGGATGAGCTTGTTACTTAGGGAGGCAAGGTTAACCCCAAAGACAAGAACACCCGGTACTTGCTGCAGAACTTCATAGGACTCACCAGGGGCGTAGAGGGGGGCGAGGAGGCTGCGGAGAATGCATCATATGCTGAAGATCTGTCGTCTTGGCCGGTGCCTCCGCCTGTCCGAGGGCGGTCTGTTCCACAAGCTGTTGCACCGATCGCAACAAAAGATGACGAAGCTGCAGCGAGGGACGATGATGGCACCGGTGGAGGGGAGGCCTGTGCCAAAGTTGTGGTGGTGAAGACGCAGACCACAATAAGAAAAAGGATTGACAACGATGCACTGAAGAAAGATATTGCGTGGGTGGAAGCAATGTTCAGGGCTGGAATTGCTTTCGACTTCCTGAACTTCGACACCACGCAGGCTCTTCATTACTTGGAGGTTGCCAATGCAAAGCCGAAGGTGAAGTTGCCTACCTACAACCATATGCGGACTGTCATGTTGGACTACATCTTCCTGAAGGTGCAGAAGTCGATCAACCCCTTGACTGCTTGTTGGGACAAAACCGGCTGCACATTCATCACAAACAGATCGACAAATTGCAAGAACCGGCCTGTCATGAATTTCCTAGCAGCGGGGGAGAAAGGAGCAGTTTTGGTGACCACGGTTTACATGACCGGGAGGAAGAAAAACGCAGCAGCATTGGCGAAGTAGTGGGAGCAAGTGATGCGGGAGATCGGGCTGAAACGGATCAACGCGATCTGCACAGACAACGCTGAGGTCAACAAGAAGGCAGCGCAGATCTTGGAGAGGCGAACAGACAGAGACATTGCAAGGATACCGTGGGTGCCTTGTGGAGCGCATTGCTGCAGTCTGTTGTTGAAGGACCTAAGCAGTTTGCCTTGGGTGAAGGACGCGGTAAAGACGATGAACACGATCGTGAAGTTCATCAGGAACCATCATGCCACGCACGGTCTCATGATATCCATCGATGACTCCTTGTCATTGCTGCGCCCGACAGAGGTTCGATTTGGGTCGGTGTACCAGATGCTGCACAGGCTGGCGGACAGGGCAGAAGTGTTAAATGAGATGGTGGACGGAGGTTCTGCAACAAAGTGGAGGGCATTGAGATGGTCGGGAGAAAAGCTGCAGAAAAAAGCCGACCTTGTCTACTACACTGTGCGGTCAGAGAATTGGTGGGCAAGTCAGGAAAATGGTGGCAATTATGGAGCCGGTGTACAACCTCCTGAAGAGGATGGGCAGGGAAGGAGTTTCTCCCACCAACCTCGTGGAGTTCGACGATCTCATTGCAAGGAAGTTGGCAAACGTCGTACTCACGAAGAAGGAGAGGGAGGATGTAATGGACAAGGTCAAGGACCGCGTGCAGATGATGCGTCAGCCCGTTCATGCAGTTGCGTTTTTGTTGGATCCACGGAGGAGAGAACCAGGCTGGCTCAACGACCCGGACAACGCCCTCGTGCAGAACGCAATGCGCTTTTTCTGCAGGCAGATCAGAGAGGAGTGGGATTCAAAGCCGCACATGGACATGTGGGATCATGTCTACGAGTTTTTGAGAGAGCCTGTGGAAGGGGAAGTGAGGACGAATGAACACATGTGGACACCAGGTGCCATCAAGCAAGCAACGCGACGTACACCTGCGGACTGGTGGACCTTGCACGATGGGGATGTTCCAGCTTTGCAGGAGATCGCCATCAACGTGTTTGGAATGTGGAGCACGGCGACACCCGCGGAGCGGAACTGGGCGTCGATGGACTTTGTCCATTCGAAGCGCAGAAATAGCCTCTCGTCGGAGTCCTTGGAGAAGCTGGTTTACATTCACTGGAACATGCAGTTGCTGCGTGTTCCAAATAGCAAGGACAATGGCTACGTTGATGTTTGGGGATCCTTCTTCCAGCCGTTGATGGATCCGGCAGCGGAAGATGGAGCAATCGAGGAGCCCACGGAGGATGAGACAGCGGACAATATCGAGGAGGAAAAGAAGCAGAAGACACTGAAGAAGACTCCCCAAAACCGGATTCCGAAGAGCCTGCTGGATGACGACTCAAGTGGGAGTAGCGATCTTGAGGATCTGGTGTGGAAGGGGAAGTGTTGGAACGAGTCCACTTCCGAGGAGGGTGACAGTGAGGATGACCTTGGGGAGGACTTAGATTTTGAGTTGGGGAGCAAGCCGGCAGTGCCAGCCACTACGTACGTAGGTCAGAGGCTTGGGAGGCGAGAAAAGAAGGCGGAGGTGCTGCCTTCAGAGCCCATCGACAGACTGGACACTGATATCGAGTTCTTGCCGCACCCTATGCCTGATGCAGACGAGGAGGAAGCAGCTCGGGCCAAGGCTATGGCAGACCGGGATGCCGCTTTGGTTCAGAGGCAGATGTGTGAGGAGGAGGCTCGCCGTGCTGCTGTCCCCACCCGGAGGGAGAGAGAGAGACAGAGCAAACAGGTCAGCCAGCATGAGCAGCAGCATAGTGAGGAAAAGGATGAGAGGGTGGACAACATGGAGGTCGATGACGCGGCCGTGCGTGCAGAAAATGAAGGGTGTTTGCAGCATGCGGGAGTGGATATTGAAGCAGTTGGAGAAAAAAATGTGCAGCAAGAAGAGGAAAAAAGTTCGCCGCGAGAGGGAGATGATACGGAGGATGTGGACAAAACTCAGCACCAAGGGGGAGAGGAAGTGCAGGAACCAGCCCCACCCACGGTTTACACACGAAGACCCCGCCCATCGGCACCGCACCAGCCTGAACCGCAAGAGCCACGGGAGGACCAGCAGGCCGTGGTTGCGGAGCAGCCAGAAACACTCGGATCAACAGTGCGTGTGCGGTCTCCGAGGAGCAGCAGTCCACTCCGGAAGACCCCCCTACCCAACACAAAATGAGGATGCCCGACACGACAACATCTGGAAAAGCAGGGCGGGGCGAAAGAGGAAGGCTTCGGTGAATGACGTCCCCGCACCTGACAAACCACGTCGCCGTCGTGGGAGGCCCCGCAAGGAGAAGACAGGGCACAAAACTGCACCGAAGTCGGAACGTGGTCGTGGCAGGCCCCGCAAAGTGCAAGTCTAGGAGGACGACCCCTACTCAGATGCCCGCGGTTCAGAGTCGCCCGACGACGAGAATAGCAAAGGGGATTCCGAATGAGAGAGAGACAGAGAGATTGTGTGTGTGTGTGTGTGTGTGTGTGTGTGTGTGTGTGTGTGT